CTGTGGGATGTTCTTAATGAATATGAAACATGTTTTAGCAACAATATCTAAGAAGGAGATTTTTAAATTCTTTCTAATTTTTATTTATTGTAAAGGTTATGATAATGATATGATGGGAAATATTCTAATGACGAAGAATCAGAAACATTCACATAGTACTTATTATGTGCCAGTTTTCTAGGCAGTTTCATGTACAATGACTCATTTAATCTGTACATCAACATTACTAGGTAGGTATTGTTACTTTTTCTATTTTATAAACTGGAAAACTGAGGCACAGAGAGATTAAGTAACATTTCCAATGTCTTACAGCTGGTAAATGGTAGAGTTAGGATTCAAATACATCACACTTGATAAGCAGGTACTTAGATTTTTATTTAATGTATTCTAAACACTTTCCCAAAGCGTTACAGCTGTCTAAGCATTATGATTTTAAATGACGAGGCATCACATTCTACTAACCTGGGCATCATAATTGGCTTGATAATTGTTCCCATTCGGGTTGTCTTTATTTTTCTATTTTGCATAATATGAAAATGATCATGTCAATGCACATAGCTTTTAAAATTTAAGTATGTACAGGCCGAGTACAGTGGCTCATGTCTACAATCCCAGCACTTTGGGGGCTGAGGTGGGAGGATTGCTTGAGCTCAGGAGTTCAAGACCAGCCTGGGCAACATTGCGAGGCCCTGTCTCTACAAAAAATCAAAAACTAGCCAGGTGTGGTAGTGCATGCCTGTAGTCTGGCTACTTGGGAGGATCACTTGAGCCTGAGAGGTTGAGGCTGCAGTGAGTGGTGATCTTCCCACTGCACTCCAGCCTGGGTGACAGAGCGAGGCCCTTTTGCAAATAAACAAACAAACAAACAAACAAATAAATATTTTTCTTAGCATAAATATCTTAAAGTCAGAGTAGTTGTAAAAGAATGTAAATATTTCCATTACTCTTGATGTATAATAAAAAAAATTATGTACACATGGGCTGCTAACAGCAGCATGTAAAAATGTAACTCTTAAAAAAAAGTAACTCTTCCCAACTGTGCTTGCAATGGATATTAATCTCTTAATTTTTTCCTTACTTTTTAATAGGCATGTAATAGGATTTCTTTTTATTTTCATTTATTTATTAGGCAATTCAAATACTTTTCAATAATTTTTTTCTTATTTATTGTCATATTTGCTGCAAATATATTTCCAATATGTTTGCCTTTTAAATTCTAATTTTGATAGTTACCTTCACAGAAATTTAAAACTTTCGCAGGGTCAAATTTGTTTGTCTCTTTAATTATAATGTCTCCTATTTCTTGATTTTTAAAATGTTATCACATATTGTGGGTCATTTGTTTAATGGTCAGAATACTAGTTGATTTTTGGTACACAAGTTTTAAATTGTTAATTGTTAAGAAACTATAAAAGTCCCAGAAATGTCTAAGTGCTCTGGCTCTGAAGGAAATGTAGTTGGAGCTACATAGAAAACTGTACCGATTGCTCTGTGACTTACCGTATCTAAGCTATGCTGTAGCAGTTCACAATTTAATGCCCAGTGTAAACTGAGTTTATTTATAGTTCAAAGACCCTAAATCCTTTCTAGCAGCACAGATCTGGCCAAAGACAATAATTTCTCAGTTTTATAGGCTTCAAGCTGTTTTACAGTGTGGAACATTGGAAATGAACTGACGAATACACTCCCAACACTGTTATACTGTTATTTGTTTAAAAGATGGCATGTGGCAATGTTGGGATGTTATCAAGGGAGTCAATGCTTACATAGCTCCTCAGTTGGCATTTACCCTCTGCAGATTCTACACTGTAGCAGGTCAGCTTTTCAGCTTTGTGGCTTCAAACATTACACATTTTAAGGATACTTGGTGTGAATCCAGTTCTCTAGGGGCAAACTTCCATTAACCAACATAAGAGACTGATGTATAAATCAAAGTACCAGTATCATTTTGCAATAAGAACCTTGAGCATCCTTTTGACTGAGCTATTTTAGGCAATATGATGAGTATATTATCTCTCTCAGCAGCCTTCCTAGTGGAGTCAAAATTATACTCAGGAGGCTCCCTGATGAATATGGAATCAGAGCAAAGTGAAGGAATTGTCTAATTTAGACAATAAATCACAGTGGGTTTCAGAGGCCATATCTGTTTATGTCCACTGATTGTAGTGTTAGGCTCCGCAGGCCACCCCACCTCCTCCCTTCATCGAGTTTGTGTGGGTACTAACCTGCCCAGGTCTTCAAGTTTACCAATTCTATGTGTGAAGTTGCCTGTGCTTTCAAGTTCAGACAACCTTCCCCTAACAGTATTCATCAGAGTTGACCAAGTTCCTGCTTACCTGATTGCAGTCACAATCTAAGTTCACTTTCCAGTGAAGATTCTTGGATCCCCTTTCCTGCATCTTGGGTGTTTTCAAACACATTTCAACAGTCTTGGTGAGACCAGATGACAAGCCTCTTATAGCACATATAGACTTGCTGATTTAGCACTTTGAGGACAAGCTTTTCCCCTTGTTCTTGGGTGGCAACTCCCTCCTGCTACTGCTTTTGTCTCTGCATACAGTGCAGTGAAAACGAGGCGTTTTGGTTCGTGTGTACACGTCCAAATACCCTTAATTTCTAGCATCTCCTGTTTGCCCCCTCTTGGGAATGTTCCTTAGGATAAATATCTTTTTTGTGTTTTGAGACGGAGTTTCATTCTTGTTGCCCAGGCTTGAGTGTGATGGTGTGATCTTGGCTCACCACAACCTCTGCCTCATAGGTTGAAGCAATTCTTTTGCCTCAGCTTCCCGAATAGCTGGGAATACAGGTATGCACCAGCACGCCCGGCTAATTTTATTTTTAGTAGAAACGGGGTTTCTCCATGTTGGTCAGGCTGGTCTCAAACTCCCAACCTCAGGTGTTCTGCCCGCCTCAGCCTCCCAAAGTGCTAGGATTATAGGCATGAGCCACTGCACCTGTCCAGGATAATCTTAAGACACTCAGCCTACATCTCTCTTTTTGGCAAATGTCAAACCACACCAATTTGGAGCTTGGTTCTCGCCCTGCAAAAGTCCCACATGAATGCACCTGAGCTGAAGCAAAGGACCCAAAGCTACATCCCAGCTTCATCCCTGGTCGGTCCTGTTCTCCCTCTTGGGCTCCCCTGGCTGCTTCTGTCCTGTGGGCCTGGCTGCAGGCTGCATGCCTGGCTCTCCAGTGCTGAACAAGCTCTGCCAGCTGCTGCATAATCATTGATGCTCAGGGGCGTGCTGGCTGTTTGACCACATCCTGGAACATTCTTTGCTAAAACCGACAGAGTAAAATATTCCTGAACATATAATATAGTACTTTGGGTGGAAAATGAAACATTTTAGAAGTATATTTAAAATAGTAAATTTCAGAATATTTCACGCTGCCTAGTGCAATAAGCTAGTAGGCTAGGGAACTAGCAAACAAGAAACCAGTACTGCAGAGGTGAATTGGTTTTCACCATAAAGGTATCAAATGCAATTACTGTGCACAAATATAATCCCCAAGCAATAACACTTTTGTTATCGGAACTCTGTAAAGTAATCAGGAACTTATGAAACTTATCAAATGTTACAGCTGGAAAATGCATGAGCATCTCTTTTTTTCTTCTTTTTTTAGAGACAGGGTCTTGCTATGTTGCCAGGCTGGCTTTGAACCCCTGGACTTAAAGGATCCTTCTGCCTCAGCATCCCAAGTATCTAGGACTGCAGGTGTGTGCCACAGCACCCAGCTCATCTTCTACTTGTTATATAATAAATTAAATGGTAGTAGTGCATATGAAATGCACAGAGATTAGTCAAAGAATAGTTTGTATAATATATATTAGGGGCTGTGTGTATATGTATATGCTAGTATATATAAATATGCTAGCTTTGATTGTGAAACAGTTTTATCTGCTGAATCAGTGGAGACAGACAGACAAATGGGACAATCAAGGCTTTTGGGGATATGTAAGTTTCCTCCTTTTCAGAATGGGCTGTCGTCACATTAGCTCAGTGATTCTTGTGAGCTTTTGGCTGGAGCATCACTTCAGTAGTGTAAAACTAAGCAGTTAACAGTATTTGCTCAAAAATGTTCAGAATTCCTGAAAAGAAAATGATAAACTTGAAAAATTAGTTGAAAAAAATTCTGTGGACTGTACATTATAGTGAATCTGACAACTATGTAGTTGAAAATACATAGTTTTTGAAATACGTAGGTAGATTTGGGATGGGTATAATATACATTTTGCACAACTCCCCTAAAGGATGCTGAGGCCACATGGAGCCAACCCTGCTTATTCTTTATGGCCTTCCTGTTCTACCAGTAATGCCCCAGGTGGCCAGTGTATACCTCTCCTTCCTGCCTCGGTTTCCCCATCTGTAGAATGAGGGGCTAGACCAGAGAATCTCCCAGGTCCTCCCAGTTTTGGCTGAGTCCCCTAAACCCGTGTGCTGCAGAGATGCCAGGTGAATGAGGTCGTGCTTCCAGCGGCATTACTGCATTCACCCAGCCCTCTGAGAGCAGCAGCCAGGCACGGAGAGCAGAGGTTTCTCAGGCACCCCTGGGCTGCGAGGCCTGACAGGAGCCCTCTGGCTTGTGGGTAAAGGAAAGCCCTGTTTATTGGTATGCAGTAGTTGGCAAACTGACATTTCAAAAAGGAAGTGAATTGTGAGGTGGGGATTTTAATTCAGGGAAATATTTGAAGAACTCAGTGTTTGCTCTGAGAGGTCATTAAATAGGTTTTGTTCCCACACCCTCTGGAAAAATGATGCTTCATTAAAATGGCAACATGAGGTGTAGTGGAAATGGTGAAATTGGGAACGCTGAAAAGACACATTCACTAGATTCCACTTAAAATGTAAAAGGAGTGTAAAGAAAACAAATGGACATTTTCCTGAGGCAGCTGAGCGATACAAAACACAGGCATCTTTGTCTCCTTCTTGAAAACTTCCACAATGCGTTCTCCTTTCTTCCTCTCCACTAATCTGTACTTCTAAGAGGTGTTGAGTTTCGGCCAAACTTTCTGCTCGGCTCGCATCAAAGGCTGCCCTCTTGTGAATAGCCAGCTCTCACCTAATGATCTCCCTACTCACTCCTGACCAGGACGCAGGTCATTCCCCATAATAATTAGCTCCCAGACAGAGTTTCCAGGCGCTTCCAGGAGCATCAATCACCGGATGAATGAGAAGCCCGTGTGTGGGAACTGCAGGGGGAGCTGGGCGCAGAGCCACCCCAGCCCTGTCACCCCGTGGCTGTCCCGGCCGCGTTTCCTTGCCCCTCCCTCCAGTTTTGAGGGACAGGACGAGTTGGGCCAGTTACCAGGTGAGTGAAGAAGGCTGCCGAAGCACGAGCCTGCACACCCCACCCACGAGAGCCCGGCTGAGCGTCTGTTTCCCTTGGGACAGGACCTTGTCGCCTGGCTCTGATGGTGACTTGGTTCCCAGCTAGGGCTTTGTGTTTACCATGAGCGTTGTCTGCTATCGGGGAGCTGCGGGGAGCTTGAGTGTGTTTCACGACAAACCGGGAGCCTGGGAGACCACCCTGAGAGGCTGCCCCTTCCCTCAGCGCTTTCGGCCTGAATCGCTGACGTCGGGCGGTGCCTTGGCTCGTCTGTGGTGTGAGGCGCTGGTCCAGGCTTACACACTAACAGTGCATGAGGAGGAGAAAACGCTCTGCGGGTGCAGCAGAAGGTCAAGATGGAGCCTGGTTTGCTCTTAGAACCTTCCCCAAGGCCCATGCGCTTCCTCTTCCTTCCTGACCAGGGGCTTTGATGCCCCTGCCCTGGGCTGCCTGGTTCCTGCCCCTGAGTCTTCAGAAGGAGCCCCAGGCCTGGAGACGTGAGTTCTGGTTCGGGTGCCTTGCGTGGCCTGTGGATCCTGGGCCTGGTCTCTGTCCCCAGGCCCGTGTTCAGGGACCGCCCTCAGCACCAAAGGCAGCCCAGTCCGGCCTTAACTCAGCTCCCAGGGCGGAGGCCCATGCCCAGCACTGGGCAGGAGGAGGGCATCCTCAGGGCAAGGGTCTGCTATCAGGGGGCTCTGGGCCGCAACTCCTGGGCACTTCCAGATTCCTGCAGCGCAGAGAAGTTTTCCTGGGGGAAGGGAGCAAGCACCCTGAGGCTGCAGAGACCGGCTGCGAACACCCAATCTACAGCAGCCCAGGACTGTGCTGCCCCCTGGTGGCGACAGATTTTACTACACACGGCCCACACGTGAAAGGAGTTTCTCTTCAGTGGCCCAGTTGCCTTCTGTCGTGCAGGAGGAACTCCCGAGCCACGGAGATTCGGAAAGGATCGAATAAGGGCAATAAAATCACAGCTCTAAATCTTTTCATGAAGTTGAAGGCAGACGTTTTACTGTGGGAGCCATCTCATCTTTATCTAGTAAGAGCATAACCTGGTAAACAATGCCAGAATAAAAACAACAAAGTCAATAGATTTAAGTCTGTTTTGACAATGAGGAATTGAAATTATATTAATTTAACCTATTTTGACTTTTGCCCAAGTCTTCTTACAGTTCCATCTCATTTTTCCCTCCTTAGATAGTTTGGGCAGCAGAGAATGCTCTATTTTTCCCTCCTGTGTAACTGACATGGAGACAGAGGCCCCCGGTCCCTTGGGGGTCAGTGCACAGGCCTGAGGCCACGGGTCCCTCAGTCAGAAGTGGGATGTGAGGCAGGGAGCTTGGGAGAGCTTTCATTGTGGATTAGCGGCTTCCTCTCGACTTTTCCTCATTTTTGTCACGGCACACTCGGAACATTTCTCGTCAGCTGTGTACACTATGTCAGGCGTTTCAAATATGTTTCTGGAAGTTGTCAGTGCTGTTCTCTATGAGGCCTGAAGGAAAAATTCAATGTTTTTAGTAAATAAAGTACTAAAATTATATCAGCTATTAAGAGGATGAACTATTTCCAAGTTGCTTAGCCATGTTGGCTGAGTGTTGAATGCAGCAATGGTGCCAACATATTAAGTACAAGAATCATATATTCCTGGGCACTGGAAGTTCCCTAGAAGACGGTGGTGCAGGGTCAGCTGGGCGGGGATGCCAAGGGGGGTGCAGTGGACTTCAAGAAGGAGTTTACAGAGATGCAAGGGAAGGTTCTGAAAACTTTGCTAGGATGGACCCTCTGTTGAATTAGCTCGCAGGGAGGTTGATTTGGAGGAGATACGTGGCATCAGAAGCTAGAAGTAATATTTTGCAAATAGTAAGCTTCCAGAGAATATTCATTCCCAGAATTGAAGATACATTGTATGGGTTCTGTCTTCCCCTCTAAGTCTCTGTTATGGGTGAAATTTGGTCTCCACCCCAAATTCGTATGTCGATGTCCTAACCCAGAACCTCAGAAAGTTGATTGTATTTGGAGATGCTTTTACAGAGGTGATTAGTTGAAATGAGGTTGGTATTGCGGGCTGCATCTCACATAACTGGTGTCTTTATTCAGAGAGGAAATAAGGACACAGACCCACGCAGAGGGAAGATCGTATGAAGACACAGGGAAAAGATGGATCTGTACCACTCAAGGAGAGAGGCCTCAGAAGAAACAACCCGCCAATGTCTTGATTTTGGATATCTAGCCTCCAGAACTTGGAGAATACATATTCCTGTTGTTTAAGCCATCTGATTTGTGGGGCTTTGTTACAGCCACCCAGCTGACAAATCCAGTGTCCTTTTGAACTTAGGGGCATGCCTGGATGGCTCATTCATTCAGTATCAGCACCAACCAAGTAGAAACCATCAAAGCAACTGGGCATGATGTGTTGGGTCTGTAATCCCAGCACTTTGGTAGGCCAAGGTGGGAGGATCACTTGAGCCCAGGAATTCGAGACCAGCCTGGGCAACATAGGGATACCCTGTCTCTAAAAAAAATTTAAAATTGGCTGGATGTGTTGGCATGCATCTGCTGTCCCAGCTACTTGGGAGGCTGAGGTGGGAAAATCACTTGAACCTAGGAGGTCAAGGTTGCAGTGAGCTGAGATCGCCCCCATTACAGTATATTCCAACTTGGGCAGCAGGGTGAGATCCTGCCTCAAAAAACAAAAGCAGGCTGGGTGCAATGGCTCATGCCTGTAATCCCAGCACTTTGGGAGGCTGAAGTAGAGGTTTGATTGAGCCCAGGAGTTAGAGACCAGGCTGGGCAAGATGGTGAAACTCTGTCTCTACCAAAAATACACACACACACAAATTAGCTGGATGTGGTGACACATGCCTGTAGTCTTAGCTACCCAGGAGGCTGAGATGGGTGGATGGTTTGAGCCTGGGAGGTGGAGGTTGCAGTGATCCCAGACTGTACCATTGCACTCCAGCCTGGGTGACAGAGCCAGACCCTGTCTCAAAAAAAAAAAAAAAAAAAAAAAAAAAAAAAAAAAGACAAACAGCAACCCAAACCCTAAACAAAATCAAACAAATAAAAACAACCAAAAAACCCATCTGATATGGTTTGGCTCTGTGCCCCCACCCAAATGTCATCTTGAATTGTAATCCCCATGTGGGATTACAGGAGGAGGGACCTGGTATGAGGTGATTGGATCATGGGGCGGACTTTCCCCTGGCTGTTCTCATGATAGTGAGTGAGTTCTCATGAGATCTGGTTATCTGAAAGTGTGTGGCAGTTTCCTCTTTGCTCTCTCTCTCTCATGCTCCGCGGTGTAAGATGTGCTTGCTTCCCCTTCACCTTCCACCATGATTGTAAGTTTCCTGAGGCCACTCAGTCATGATTCCTGTTAAGCCTGTGGAAACGTGAGTCAGTTGAACCTCTTCTTCATAAATTACTCAGTCCCAGATAGTTCTTTATAGCAGTGTGAAAATGAACGAATACACCATCAAAGTCCAGTCTGTACAGAATCAAAAATCTAAAAAACAGCAAAGTGACTTGTGAATGGCATCCAGTATCTTTTACTAGACAAGATATATTAGCATGATTTCTAGAGAAAAACCCAAATACATGCCCGAAATGTCTATCCCACAGTTATGGTTGAATATAAATGTTTTCCCACCAGTTTTGTGGTGCCCTGAAAAGGAATCCAAATAGTGTGGAAAATATCCTCAACTCTAAATGAATCATGCAGTCAAGTTTTATGAAATGAACCTACAAAGTTATCAATTGCTCCAAGAAAGAAAATATTCACTTCTGTTACTCCTAGTTTTGCTTTAGCTCTTCTGAGATGTCTGGGGTTTAGCTCATGGATTGCATGATTTGATGAAACTCTACACAGCAGCTAGAGAGGAAGTGAACCTTAGCGCTGAGGACTTAGGATTCAGCTGATGCCTGGGTACTTCAGCGTATCTTTCACTCATGGTGGTGGTGAAGTTGACATTGATGATTAAGCTAACCTCTACTGAGCACTTCCTGCCCATGGACACTAAATTCAGTGCTTGACAGATTTCAATTATGTTTCATAGAAATGCTAGGAGCTGAGACATGGTGCAAGGTAGTGATTCAGTTTTGGTTACACTCAGCTATGTGACCTTGAGCAAATCGCTTCGCTCTCTGTGCCTCAGTCTTCTTATTTGTAAAAGGTTGTTGGTAGTGTAGGTGAGGTGCTTGAAAAAGTGCCTGGCACTGACGAAGGTTTTCATAATTGTTGACCACTAGTATTTTTCTTCACACCTTGAGCTGACGAAAGGAAGGACAGTGGAGGTGTTAAGCAATGTGTAAACACTTGCATGTCATCACGAGGGGGGAATCTGGCGGCACAAGGGCTGCATCGCTGAGGCTCTGCACTGCCTCCCAGTTGGGCATGCTATCCTTGCAGGTACTTGTCCCATTATTCCTGCTGAGACGCACAAAGGTGACTTTCAGATATGTGGCTTAGCTAGGTGCAGTGGCTCATGCCTGTAATCCCAGCACTTTGGGAGGTCTAGGCGGGCGGATCATCTGAGGTCAGGAGTTCTAGACTAGCCTGACCAATATGGTGAAACCCTGTCTCTACTAAAAATACAAAAATTAGCTGGGCTTGGTGATGGGTGCCAATAATCCCAGCTACTCGGGAGGCTGAGGCAGGAGAATTACTTGAACCTGGGAGATGAAGGTTGCCATGAACCATGATCACACCACTGCACTCCAGCATGGGCAAAAGAGAAAGACTCTGTCTCAAAAAAAAAAAAAAAAAAAAAAGTGGCCTGTGCTCTTTCACCCACAATACTTCAGTGTGTGTTCTCCAAAAACAAGACCATCCTCCTCTATAATGATAAACTCAGGAAAGTGACACAATTAATCTGTAGATCTTATTTGAATTGTATGAACTATTTCTCTTATGTTCTTTTTAGGAAAAGAAAATAGTTCTTTTCCTGGTCCAGGAGCCCCTATCCAACCCAGGGTCCCACATTTCATTTAGTTGTTATCTCTTTCTTTTTTCCATCTGAAACAGTTCATCAGCCTTTTTGTTTTTAATTTTTATGACCTCAACTTCTATAGTACAGGAGATTTACTTTGTGGGCTGCCAGTCAATTTGACAACAGATTTGTTTTTAATGTGTGCTTTCTGGAAACATGATATTGTTCCTCAAAGAAATGAAAAAAGGGTGGGAATACATGAGACATCATAACAGACACCAGGTGGGAATTATTGAGGTTGGGTAGGTCTGGATAACATTTAAATTGAGCTATAAAGTGGAAATCATGATCAACCCTGCTGTGAAAGTTATTGGTGGTTGTCTTGGTACTTTGGTTGCCTTATATAAAATTAGGGGTTAGATGTATGTGGTCTCTAGTATTCTGTGTTAGAACTAACACATTATTAATAATGCTATTTACATGCTTTCTTTTTTTTGTTTTATTTTAGGATTATTGTTTTTTGACACAGAGTCTCACTCTTTCACCTGGGCTGGAGTGCAGTGGCATGATCTTGGCTCATTGCAACCTCTGCCTCTCGGGTTCAAGTGATTCTCCCCTCTCAGCCTCCTAAGAAGCTGCGATTACAGGCGCCCAACAACATGCCCAGCTAATTTTTTTGTATTTTTAGTAGAGATGGCGTTTTGCCATGTTGGCCATGCTGGTCTTGAACTCCTGACCTCAAGTGATCCACCTGCCTTGGCCTCCCAAAGTGCTGGGATTACAGGTGTGAGCCACCGTAAATCCTTTTAAACCTTCCCATACTGCTTCCCATGGTAAGGAACATCCTCATTCATATCACTTTAAGACACATCTTTGTTAATATCACATATCTCCGCCTGTTCAAGTCTCTCTCCTTCTAACTTAACAGTTTTTATTCCAATTTCTTCATGTACTCAAATGCCTTATTCTGAATATGCCTCTGCCACATGGCTGCTCTTGGCATATAGGAAAACCATCACATGCTAGAACTGGGATTCCAAAACATTTCCTCCGTAAAGGAAACCACCAGCCACTGTGGGGCAGCTCTGTGTGTAGAACTCTCAGCTCACTGTCACCTCCTGGGCTAGCTGAAGCTTAGTCTTCCCAAGAAATCCATTGCTGTGTATATATACCCAACAGGCACTGAACCACCTGCTGAGCCACAGTGCAGGCGTGGGTTGGCCTTAATGCCATTGTTCCTGAGTGGATGTTCTCAGGCACACTTTGTAGGACCCCTCCCACCCCCAGCCCAAGGGGCCTATTTGCTCTATGTTTGCTTGTTAGGATAAAAGAGAGAGGCAAAAGGCCCATCGTAATGTTAAGCTTTGGAAGTAAGTCTCAGAGAATAATGATGCTGGAAAGAAAGATAAAATTTTGCTGGCAATTATAATACAGAGTGAAGGAGTAGAGTGTCTAGTTTCTGTTGAAATGGAAAAGAATTGCTCTCTACTTGGAGGATGAGAAACATGGAGTCTAGGGAAAAAGGGATGTTTGAGTTCTAGGTAGCCATTTGTGTGTTTTAGTTACAGAGTGAATGGAAATGAAATGGTTTGCACTTTACGAAGCACTTCTAAGTATCCATCCCTCCATCCATCCATGCACACATCCATTGTTTATAGATTCAGCATATTCCAGGGTCCATTCTAGGCCATGAGAATGCAGAGGTGGAAAGGGGAAAATCTCAGTCTATTTGGTGGCGCAGGCAACACAAAAGGTCATTACAATGCGGTGCACCAAGAACTGTCGAGGCCATTGACAGCTGTGAAGAGGCCTTTAATGGGATATTAGGGAGCACAGAAGGACTCAGTCAGGAAACAGAGTGGAGACAATTAGTCTGGGTTTTGCAGAACATGTAGGAGTTTGCCGTGTGGAGAAGAGAACAGAGCATTTTAGACACGCGCAATGGCCTGGGGTTATATACAGAAAGGAGCTCATCTCTGGAGGTTGAGATTTTGTCCAATCCTGTGGGTAATTGAAGCCAAGTGGCATTCGATTAGGCAATATAAGCCCAGATAAAGTAAGGAAGAAGGAGAATAAACTCACTCGACCCTGTTCCTGTGCCTTTGCTGCGTTTCATTATTTTGTTGTCAGAGGGAATGGGTTTGGAAAGTGTGTAACGGAAGAAGAAAATGAATAACACTTTGAGAGAGTTGTTCTCACCCAGGGATGCACTTCAGAATCTCTTTGGGAAGTTTTTGAAATTTACATGGCCAGGCCTGACATCTGACTCAGAGGCCCAGGGTGGAGCCAGCACTGACCTGCTCTGCAGAGCTTCTCATGGTGTCCTTGATTGGGAACACCGTCACGTATGCTTCCTCTTCTGGGAGTATCTGCCTATCTGAAGAAAGGGCACAGGTGCTATACAACCATCTCTGGAGATAGTGCCTGTGGAATTTTAAGCTTTATGCTGCTAGCTGGGTGAGGATTCTAATGATAGCAATGTCTGCCAGTGTTCCTAGGAATCTGAATTTCAGGAGATACTTTCAAACAGGATCTTCTAACCTTTTCTAGAATTCCAGAGTCTATTTACATCCATTCCTTTGTTAATATTTATAGTCTGGTTTTATCATCATATTAGAGATGGGAAAGAGGCAGACTGGGGCCTCCTTGTGTGCTGGCATTGCCTGATTTCTTGCCTAGATACTGATTTCATGGGTGTATTCATGTTGTTGAAAATTCACTGACTTGCTCACTGAGTATTTGTACACTTTTCAGTAAATATATGATACTACATTTAAAAGTGAATTCAAAAACAAATGAATATTTTTAAGAGCTGAAATTATAGTGTCATGAATGCAAAGAATGTTTTCCCCATGGCTGAGTCCCCGAAGGCTGACGTGCTCCTAGGTTGACACCCTGTGGCTCTGTGCTTTGCCAAGGATGCAGTTTGGAGCCCCAGCAGGGGCACAGGGTCACCTGTGCAGAGAGCCTCCGTGGCTGGTGGGAATGGTAACCTTGGATTTCCTGACTTTTGTGTATTGATGGTTTCATTCACAGAGTCACATTAACCCAGCTTTGTAGACTGAATGAAACCATTGGCAACTTTCTGATTTGTTTTTCAGCCTGAGTCCAAGCTGGTAAAGAGGCCAAGAATTCCCAAGCTTTCCCAGGCAAGCGGGGAAGAACACTGGGATGCCTTTTCCTCCTCTTCTGTCCATCTGCAGGCCAAGTGTGCATCAGTCACAGGCAAACTCTGAATCGAGCTTTGTGCAAGCCTTTGGAAAGAGACCCAAGATCCTGTGATGAGCAAAAGTGACAGTGCTGGTGGCAGTGACATCTGCAGAGCCAGCCCCATCCCTATCTGCAGCAGAATACGCAGGGGCATCCTTTATGCAAACAATCCCCCTGGGGTAGAATGGGGCTTTTGACATCAGCTGAGGCCCAGGCTGCCTTACAATGAGGGGCCTGTTGGTCAAAGGAAGGACTGTTTAATGAACTGAGAACCTGAGGCCAGCTCTGGCCATCTGCACTTAGAATCATTAGAGCAACTCTACTGTAACTGGAAACATTGAATAATGCAACAAATTCATATTTCAAAATTGGAACTTTAAAATTTTGTGTTTGTGTCTATGATGAAAAACATTATATATACATTTGATACCACCATTTTATCAGTAAAGAAGCCTGAAAAATATCTCTCTTTGACTCAGAGGTCAATAATGATAATGGTTTTTTCCCTGCACTGGGATAGAAATGTTCTGTCAAGGATATAAAAGCACTTTATGAAATTCATTAAAGCCCTTAATAATCAGGTAGGGAAGGCAGGTGTTCCCAATTGTCACCACTTGGTGAGTGAACACACTGAGGCTCTGGGAGGACAATGACTCGGGAACAAGGTCGAATGGCAGGTGGGGGATGGAGCCTAGCCCTAACAGTGCCCTCCAGCCCCCCGCGCTGAGGAAGGACACGGAGGGCTTGCATCGACTTTTCCTGGCAGGCTTGTGATTCCCAGCCAGAACGCAGGTGGCAATGTTGTGATTCCTGGCATAACCTTCAATGCTTCAGTGATAATCTCTGCCAGTGCCAGGCACCAGCTGAGTGTCATTGTGCAACTCCCAGGCTTAAGTGATGCATGCCGAGGTTTTCAGAGCAGGCTCTCATTTATTAGTTGTGTTGGAAAGAAATCTCTACTACCTAACTGGGTACCTCTGGATTTTAACAGCTGTGGTTTATAAGAGATTTGAGAGGGAGTTTGTTTTCAAAGTGCCTTTCACAAAGTAACACCTCAGATTGGAGTTTACATTTCATTCCAGTAGGATAACTTGCAACACTTCTGTGCTCAGAAATCCAACTGTGCAAGAAAAGTCAGGTTATATTTTCATACAGCCCATTTTGGCAAATATGCCTTCACACCACTTTCCCTCCTCCTCACCTCTAATGCCAATAATCCCAATGGAAGAGTTTTATGTCAAATGTTGAGTATCTTGGAAGGTATCCTGCAGAGACACGACTGCTTGGCTGCGCAGTTGGACTGGGAGACCATGAAGGTCCCTTCTAGCCTGAGATGTTATGACTCTAAAACAAATTAGTTTCAACTCGTGATGCTAGCTACCATTTATTGGGCTTTTTCTGTGTTTTGGGCTCTGTGCTAAGATCTTAACATTGCTCTAATTACAAAATTCCTGCCAATATTATCCCCATTTTACACAAGAAGAAACGGGTTTAGGGAAATCAAAAATGTGTCCAATGACACAGATTTAAGATTTAGCAGCTGATGGCCACATGGAAGTGGATTACAGATTAATTTGACACTCTAAACCCCCAATTTAACTGGAATGAAATTTAGGGCTGAGTGCTGTGGCTCATGCCTGTAATCCTAACACTTTGGGAAACCAGGTGGATCACTTAAGCCCATGAGTTTGAGAGCAACTTGGACAACATGGTGAAATCTGATCTCTACAAAACACACAAAAATTAGCCAGGTGTGATGGTGCATGCCTATAGTTCCAGCTACTCAGGAGGCTGAGAGATGAGAGGATCCCTTGAGCCAAGGGGGTCGAGGCTGCAGTGAGCTGTGATGGTGCCACTGCACTCCAGCCTGGGCGACAGAAACAGACCCCCTCTCAAAAAAGGAAAAAAAATAGGTACCTTGCGGTTGCCTTTTTCTGAGATTAGCTCATGGCTCTAGCTCTCAGGGTGGCAAGTAATGATTCTGTGGTCAGATGCAGTGTTGAAGTCAGGCAAGAAAACCTTCATCAAGAGCTAGAGATGTCCTGTCTATGAATTTCTCCTCTAGGCTTAGGTACAGACCTGGGATTAATGTCCTGCCAGTTAGAGATTCACTCATTGTAAGCAATACAAATGCCCTGGAAGAGACAGTGAGTTAATTGTCACCCATGAGCAGCATTGTGTGAATTAGTGTGGTTTAGCAAACGCCTAGAGAGATGAAACTCTAGCTCCGTAGGGTAGGTTCTGATTACGCCTGGAGCCGCAGCGAGCTCAGCTCACAGGGAGCTCTGAGCTCTCTCAATGCCTCACTTGCAGTGCCTGCTCAGGAGTCAGGTGTCTCTTCACAGTGTTGCTTTCCTGTAGGTCAAAGCATGGTGTTTATGAGAAACAAACACTCAAAATTCTGACTCCTGTGAATACAGAACACGTGCAATAAAACGACCACAATCTATTTTTAAAATGTGGTCTGAGAAGTCAGGTTTAATATGACTACGTAATATATAAATAACATATTTTCCACAGAAAGGAAAATATACATAATAAAATATATCTGTTTTCTTTTCTTTATGGAAAATTACTCCCACAATTTGGTCCCAAGGGGGTTTTATTTGTCATCAGGCCTATGGCTTATACAGGAATGCTGCTTCCTTTCCAGAGGGGTACAGGAGCAGTCTGCACTGACTGCTTTTACCTGTAAATGTTTTGAGAATTCAGAAGTCACTTTCCATCCACAATAGGTGCTAGGCATTTTATCTAAATAAAGCAAAAACATTTCTGTCATAAAAAAGATGTTAATAAATATAGTGTTCTTAAACCGATGTGAAATATACAAGTACAATCTAGCACTCCTGGTGAAAAATACAGTAATTAAGAACAATGCAAGTTTTTTGTTTTAGTTTAACTGTGGAAATAAAAAACTCAAAAATTAAAAAAAATAAAAAACGGCTTTATTATATGTCAGAGCATTGAGTTATAAAGTATATACCAGATACTGTGGGAAAATGTTTAATCTCATCACTCAATGCCCATTAAAATATCAATACAAAATACAGATTTCATCCATGAAGCTAATATTTTCTCACATTTATGAGAACTGTTTTTCAGCTCTGATGGTTTCAAAAACACTCTGAGGCTCAGGTGGAAGCTGTATGGTGAAGACGGGGTGCTTCCTACTGGCTGCCAAGAAGATGGGGTGTTCTGAGCCCAGCCGGGCCAGTGCCTCCTGCGTTTCCACACCTCTGTGAGAGGAGGTAGGATCAAATGCTAACCATGAGGGCCTTTTGGCTTCCGTAAGGAGATCACTATGACTCTACAGATCACACAAAGCAAATAAGGAAAATGGATTCCCATCTGTATCTCTCTCACTGCCACTGTACCATTTCAAAGATGTCCTAAAACTTCAAAGGCATGCAGGAAGGTGAGAGCTATTCCACCTTTAAGACCTACGAACTATTATGAGATTCTTTATTTTTTTTCCACAAGTAAGGGGAGAATTTATAAAATGGCAAAAAATTTATTTTGAAAAGCATCCTCACTAGTACAAGTACCTCATTAAATAGAGAGTGACAAGACTATACTTTCAGGGACCATTTCTACAGTTTGTTACTAGAGAGGTTTCTCTGAAAGTGTAAATAGAAAGTGACGGGGGGAATTTAGCTGGAAGTGCATCCTGACCCCACACCCAGTCCTGCGTGCCCCGAAGTGCGCGCAGGCCCCTTGGAGTCCCCCTCCTGCTTCAGGACTCAGGCTGTGGGCCGCTCTTGGTGAGGACATGTGCTCTGAGACCAGGGCTGCTGGGAGTTCTGCAGTTTCAGTGTCTTCTCTGGATCTGCTGGCCTTCTAGACCTTCCCTTGTCCTTTACATAATTTGAGTCTTGGCTGCCTTCCTGATCACTACATTGCCACAATAGATAGAAAGGGGAAAACATTGGAGGTGAAACCAATCCATCTGTCAATCAACAAATCAACTTTGAACTCAGAGAATAAAATGGCCTGTGCAAGAGAGGCTGGCTAAAATAGGATTTTGAAGGAGTTACCCTTGAAATTTAATTACCAATCTATGTGTCTTTGACACTGACATTTCACCCAAACATCCGTTCAGTATCTCCAATACCTGTTAGGTTTCTTCTGTTTTTGTCTTATTAATTATCTCATTAAGGTAATGGTGTAAATCTTTCAAAATTCTGTTAAAGCTGGCTGGACAAGTGAATCCTGAATGAGGAAAGCAAATACATTTCCACTGGTACGTCTGTCACAGCAAACTGACCAACTCCTAAATGAACCTTGTGTAGCTACCCTGGTTCAATCCTTTTTTTATTTCTTTCTATGTGTTTATCAATAGATCCACAATTCTCCTGTGTACTCAGGCACAATATTTGGGACCTGTCACTCATTCATCTATTTGTTTTCTTTCCTTTTTTTTTTTTTTTGTTTGTTGTTGTTGAGATGGAATCTCATTCTGTTGCTTAGGCTGGAGTGCAGTGGCTCATTCTTGGCTCACTGCAATCTCCACCTCCTGGGTTCAAGTGGTTTTCCTGCCTCGGCTTCCCAAGTAGCTGGGACTACAGTCATGCACCACCACGCCGGCTATTTTTTTTTTTTTTCATTTTTAGTACAGACAGGGCTTCACCATGTGAACCAGGATGGTCTCGATCTCCTGACTTGTGATCTGCCCACCTTGGCCTCCCAAAGTGCTGGGATTATAGGCGTGAGCCACTGTGTCCGGCCCATCTATTTGTTTTCTTAATCAATGAATGTTTTTGGAACACATCTTAGGTCCCAGACACTGTTCTACATGCTGGGAATACAGCAGTGAACAAAACCAATCATCTCTACCTTCTTTAGCTTATTGATTAGTAGGGTAGAAAGTCAATAAACTTGATAAGTACATTTTATGTTGGAGAGTAATATATCTTCATATGGCCTCTCCTTCTAGGTCTCTGTGTCTTCTCTTCTGTCTTTTATCAGGACACTTGTCATTGGATTTATGGTTCACCTGGATAATCTGACATGATCTCAAGACCCATAACTTAATTTAATCTACAAAGATCCTCTTTCCAAATAAGGGCACAATAATAGATTCTGGGTGTTAGGTTGTAGATATACGTTTTGGGGGAGCGCCATTCAACCCACTACAAAGAACAGTGGGGTGATTTTTTTTTTTTAATTTAAAGTTAGACCTTATCAGGAGGCCTTTCAGAGGTGAAATTTGAATAAAAATCTGAAAGAAGCAAAGGATCTGCAGACTCCTGGGGCAGAGCACGCAGGCGGCAGGAGGGGCAGGTGTGAAGGGCTTGCCTGTGTTGTTCAGGAATAAAGAGGCGAGGTCGGGTGCATCACAGGCCCAGGTAATGACATAGGATTTAAAAAAATTATTTTAAGCCACGCATGGTGGCTCACACCCATGATCCCAGCATTTTGGGAGGCCGAGGCAGGGGAATTGTTTGAGCCCAGGAGTTTAAGACC